GACATTCTCCCGCCGGGCCCCGCTCTCCGAGAGCCAGCCAGCCGCCCGCGCATCTCCCCACATCTCCCCACATCTCCCCACATCTCCCCATATCTCCCCATATCTCCCCACATCTCCCCACACCTCGCAGGTCTGGCACGACATCTCCCCACACCTCCCCACACCTCCCCACATCTCCCCACACCTCGCAGGTCTGGCACGACATCTCCCCACACCTCCCCACACCTCCCCACATCTCCCCACACCTCGCAGGTCTGGCACGACATCTCCCCACATCTCCCCACATCTCCCCACACCTCGCAGGTCTGGCACGACATCTCCCCACACCTCCCCACATCTCCCCACATCTCCCCACACCTCGCAGGTCTGGCACGATATCTCGTACTGGAACTCGGACTTCTCCACCATCTGCCCCATGTTTACCACGCGAAACATCAACCTGATGGCGCGCCTGAGCCTGCGCCCACTCGCCGCGGGCCCCCTCCTCTGAGTTCTGAGACCTCAGCGTCGGGAGCGCGCCGGCCTACATCTCCCCATATCTCCCCACATCTCCCCGCATCTCCCCGCGCCAGGAGCGCGCCTACCTGAACCTCCTCCAGTACAACACGATCATCTCCGCGTCGCAGTACGCCTCCTACTACTTCTCCCTCCGCACCGCCGCCATCGCCATCGCTTCGCCGCAGAAGCCCGAGGCGCCCTCGTCGCCGGGGCAAATCGCTCGAGGTAACCCTCCCCCCCCCCCCCCCTCCCTGCCCGCTGCTGCTGGCCTCGCCACCGCCTCCCTCCCTGCCGCCTCCCTCCTCCCTCGCTGCCGCCTCCCTCCCCGCTCCCTGCCACCCCACTCCCCGCTCCCTGCCGCCTCCCTCCTCCCTCCCTCCTCCCCTAACCTGCCCTCTCGGCCCCGCCTCGCCGCCGCCGCCGTGCAGCCCCGCCCGCCCCACGCGCCTCGCCCCTCCCCGCCTCGCCCCTCCCCGCAACACGCCCCTCCCCGCACCACGCCCCTCCCCGCGTCGCCCCTCCCCGCACCACCCTCCCCGGCCACGCCTCTCCGCAGGCCGCGACAACTTCCGCTCCAAATACTTTCTGACGCTCA